TTCATTATATAACAAATTGCATAATGTATGAAATATTCATATGTATATATGTATATGTTATTTTTATATAAAATAAATTATTAAACAAATAAATGTTAGAAATATATCTTATTTAATATAATATAACAATTTTAATTTTAATATTTTACAATAGTTTAAACTTTTAAACAATAGTTTTAATGTTTTACAATAGTTGCAATAGTTTTAATATTTTGTAATAGTTTAAATGTTTTGCAATAGTTTAAACATTTTACAATAGTTTTAACATTTTGCAATAGTTTTAACATTTTGCAATAGTTTTAATGTTTTGTAATAATTTTAACATTTTGCAATAGTTTTAACATTTCACAAAAGTTTTAACATTTCGCAATAATTTTGAGTTTTGCAATAGTTTAAATTGCATTAATTAAGATTTTACCATTTCACATTTTCTAAAATAATTTAGCCGAACAACCTTAAATATATATATTATATTAAGTTTTATCTTTTAATATTATAATAAAAAATTTAATGTTACTTAAAAATTAAAAAATTGTAATTTTTTAAAAAAATTTATTTTAAAAATTTTATGATAAATCTATGATAAACTTTTTAGATTTTACTTTTAACTATATGAATTATAATAGAATATTATAAAATTACTTATTAAGAAAAACTTTTATTGTTATAATTTTTATAATTAATTAAGATATTTTATGACTTTAATTAATAATAAAATGATTTGATTAGTATGCAAATATGCAAACTATAAATTTTTAAAAAATTATTATGATAAATTTTTTGAATCTTTAATTTTAAAATAAAATTATTTTAAAATCTTTTAAAAAACTTAAAATCTTTGTTAATAAAGTTAATAAAATATATATTAAACTATATTTTTTATTTAGTAATGATATTATTAAATTAATATTAAAATTTTATAAAGAAATTAACACTTATTTTTAATTTTACAGCAAATTTATCTACTATACAGTCTAAGAAATAGTTGTAAATAAGATTAAAAAAATGAAAAATAATATATGAATCTAAAAAAATCTTGAAGATAATAATACTTGGATTTAAAAAAATAATTTTTTGAAAATATATTATTAAATTTCAACATTTATATCTTTTTTAACTATTTTATTGCTGAAAATTAAAGTGACAAATTATTTTGTAACTTTTGATTTTTGTTAAATATTTTATTAATTCTTATAAAATTTTTATACTAAAATGTAATAGATTTAAAATTCAATTTTAAGATTTTTTAAAAAAAATGATATAAATTTAATGTGTATTATTTACAAAAAAGTTAATACTTCAATCATGCTGTAAATAATGACCAAATAACTTGTTTTTACAGCCAAGAATTTTCTTTATAATATTTATGACACTCATAATTATAAAATAAATCTATTTTAATATTAAAGTTAAATTTTGTCTTTGAAACTATTAATACTAGCAACTTAATAATAAAGATATTTTCTTATTTTTGTTATTAATTGATGATGTTAATCTGTTTATACTCCTTTATATATTTTACTTTCTTTTGAAAATTAAGAGTTTTTTTGACTATTCCTTTAATAGTTTTCTTTTAAATTTAAAAGAATTTTATTTATGAATTAAAGTTGATTTTAAATATATTAAAATTAATTATTAAAAAATAATATTTTATAATAAAATTATAATATTTTTAAAGTAAAATCAAAAAATTTTTTACATTAATAACTTGTGCATTAATTTAAGATCAAAATTTTGAATATTTTTAATAAATGTATTTTTTTTATTTTTTAAATTTATTTATTTTTATATTATTAAAAAAATTTTACAAAATATATATATTACAGTTAATTTTATAATAAAATTTATGATATTTTTTAAGTAAAATCAAAAAAAAATTACATTAATTAGTAACTTTTTGCATTAATTTAAGTTAGAATTTTAAAAATATTTTAATTTAAATATTTTCTTTATAAAGCTAAAATTTTTAATTTTTATTTATTTTTATAATATTAAAAAAACTTTACAAAATATATAATTTTATATTTAAAACATTCATTTATAATATTACTATTAAATATTGTGATTAAATGAAACTGAAAAATTATAATTGTCCATGAATTATGAAATTAGTTGTAATATTTAAACCATTTATTTTTATATTTAAATATTATTTATTTATAAAAAAAAAAATTTTAAAGTTGAAAATTTTGTATATTTTAATATTTTAATTATTTTAAAATGAAGTTTTATTTAAAATAATAGATTTATAATAAATTTTATAATTTTATGACAAAATCATATTTTATTGTTATTAAATACAATTATAAAATAAAAAACCTTCTGTTTACCTTTACTATTGTTTCCAACATAAAAACACAAAGAACTGCATTTGACACTATCTTTATAATCATTATTATCAAATAAATTATTATGTTCTTCAATAATTATAAATATTCTAATGATTCATTAAGAAAGAGTTTGCTTTAATATATTTTATTAAGAAATTCTTCAAATAATTATACAGGAGATATGTAAATTCTTTAATTTCTTTTTCATAATTTCTTTTTTAATTAATACTAATTTTTTTTATAAAATCTTTTAACTCTCTCATCATCATGTCTAAACCTAATCAGCAGCTTTATATTACTAAAACTCTTGTATTTTCACTTGACTATTTCGAGAATTTTTCATATCGATACTCTTTTCATATTATAAATGCCAATTCTGAATCTATAATAAATGGAATTACTAAAATAAATACTTAGAGAAAAGAATAATATTGTAAATATATATATTTTTATCTTGTTAAAAATTTGATTTAGAAATTGTCTTACCTTAGACATTAACATATTCTTTTTGTACTAGCAAATAAAAAATCCAAATCAAGATCAAAAATGATAACCCCAAGTTGAAGATGCAAATTATTTTGCTTAATAACATAAAATTTGTTAAATACTTGATTTCATTTCAATTAGAATTGTATTTCGCTACGATATTATTTCAATCTATGATTATTCAGAAAATTAGCTATGGAGATATCGAAGGATCCGTTTCAACATTTCCGGTTGCACTAGCCAGAACAACTTTGAAGATGTATGAGTATCATCCGATCGTCCAATTTTGAATGGAATAATTTTTACTATACCAAGAGGAAAGAAAAGAAAGTTGCGATCGCCCCATCATTATATGATTCTGAATAATGGGTTGCATAAGCTATTTCCAGTCTTATGTTGGCGTAAAAAGCTTTACGTCCATCATCATAACAGATAAACAGCTATCGTCTTCAATCGAACTTTTATCATCATCTAATGAAAATAATTATATTTATCAAAATTTAAAATTAAAATGGGAGGAGGAATTTTATAAATACTCACGTGTTGTAAAGCCAAGCTTTGTTTTTTAAGCCAAGGAGTGACTCTTGGTATGCCGATTCTTTACAAAATCATTTTCAATTGAAACGTAATATCTTTATCAGGCCAATAAATATATCTAAACAATAACGGTAGTTCCATCTTCTTCAAGTGATACATAATTAGTGACTCCTAGAAATGTTTTGACGTATAATTTTGATATTACTATTTGATAAATTAATAGTATTAATGCAATTATTTCGTTAACAACCGGAAATGTTAAGTTAGTATGCAAATTCCCATATCTTCAAAATATAATTAAAAATTGATATAAATAATTTTTCTGCATCACTTTACCTAGATAACTGGCTAAATTGTACAAATCAGTTGAGCTCAAACTCTAATTTTGAGTTACCTCATGTAGCGCAAATTTTTAGTAAAATTATATTTGCATCCAAAACTCTTCCCTCGATCCCTCGAAAGGATTGTTCAAAACTCAATTATAAACTTCGGTGTCATTAAAATGTAATCATAAATAATTTGATCGCCTTTTCCATCATATAAACCACTCCATATGGCAGTGATCTAACGTTATAAATATCAACTCAGGAATCGTTGGTTTAGTATTGTATATTTAATATATACATTTCCGGCCGAAGAAATTCACATAAATGCATTTGTTATTGCTCAACACAATCTCTCGATACGGTCCATTTTTGACAGAGTTACAAACTGGTTTGTAATACCTAATCTTCCTCTCATAGTAATCTCCATACAAACCATATGATCATATTCTGAAAAAACTTTGGTCAATAATTTTAAAGGATTGTACATCGAGACGTTTCTAATGATCAATACCTTTCTTGAAAGAAATTCTTGATGAGTTTCTCTATCTGCGTCATCATTAGGACTAGAAGGTTGCTTATCAGTAGACAACTCGATATCCACTAAAGAGTAATGAAATAATAAGCTTGACATCCGTATTTGCAAGTAGAAGTGTTTGATAATTTATTTATCAAATTTATCATCATTCAATTTAACTTCCAATAAGTCCCACGTAGAATTTAACGAAATCTCTTGAGTTGCTTCATATATCAATATTTTGAGTATAATTTTCTAATTCCAATTGAATACTTGGTTTGGAAGGAATAAATTCCTCCATTCTTATAACAAAGACTATAATTCAGTTTTAAAAATTTCACCAATTCTTTATCTGATTCGTTCATATCTTGATGTTCGTTCGTACAGTAACAGAAAAAATATAAAAAAGTACGATACTAATTCTTATATAATGACTTATTTAGTGCAAATAAATATGTACAAATAGTTTCTTCAACCGTCCACAGTTTTGGGTAAATAAATACGTTATCCTATAAAGTATTGAATAAGAAAAAAAAACAAAAGGTATTAATGAAGGGGAACGCGTGCTTTTTAATTTTATAGACATAATTTAGTATATAAGAAGATTATTTATTACGCGTTGGGTTTGGGTGAGTTATTGTTACTAATTAAAATAATGATTTTCAAGTAATATATACTGCTATATGAGTTTGTTTCGAAAAATTCACAGGCAACAAAGTGCAAAATTATTGGA